TTAAAAGAATATTTGAATAGGTGTTGAGCTTTATAAGTAAAGGATTTAGTTTAGTTTTCTCTCCCATTTTTAAGTGTATCCGGGTTATATTTGAAAATAATTTTCCTCAACAAAATTTCAGTTTTTCCTCAAATGTCAAGTTTAGTTGAATTTTTTATATTAATCTCATTATTTTTTATTTAGACAAGACTATTTAGTTGAGAATGCTGGATATAAAAACCAAGATTTTATAATACAGACACCAGTCCTACAGGAGGATATTAGACTCACACCAGACCAACAGCAGGTAGTATATTTATACCAGACACCAGTCCTACAGGAGGATATTAGACTCACACCGGACCAACAGCAGGTAGTATATTTATACCAGACACCAGTCCTACAGGAGGATATTAGACTCACACCAGACCAACAGCAGGTAGTATATTTTTACCAGACACCAGTCCTACAGGAGGATATCAGACTAACACAGACCAACAGCAGGTTTTATATTTGTACCAGACACCAGTCCTACAGCAGGATATCAGAAACTATACCAACAGCAGGGAGGATTTACATACCAGACGCCAGTTCTTAAAGAGCATAACTACGGATAATAACAATGATAATAATGATAATAATTTCAGGCAACTCTTGACTTCTTTGTACTGGGTGGTGCTAGGGTATCACAGATGACCAAAACCTATCACGATGTTGAAGCTGTCACAAGACTTCTGGAGGTCACCCCACTTTATAAATCATTTTCCCCCTTTTTAGAATTTTATTGGGAATACATAGAATTCGTTTTGAAGGCTCAAATTTTATCATTTCTATATTATACGGAATTTTTGTTAGTTTTGTTAATAAACATATTAATGTTAGCTTGAATTTGAAGATATCTGTTGGAAATAGTATTTTACGTTTATTATCATAACTATTCATTAAACTAATCAGTAATCAAGTACAAAATTCACTAAAAAAATTTAACATTGAACAGGCTCCTTTTAATGTTATTTTTTTTAATTCTTGATTTTATATTAGGAGAAGGAGAAGGATCTTGAGTTGGCAGCTAAGATTGGGCAGGAACTCTTGGAGAGAAATAGAACATTAGATGATAAGGTCGCTTGTTTTTTCACAATACTGTCAGCGCAATTTTATTCGTTTCTTAGAAATGGTACCAAAAAAGTCTTTTAATTAAAAATAATGAAAATATCCTTTTTTTGGTCTTGAAATTAATTATTTCCAATTGCGGTCTCATTCGGATTGAAACTGGCGAGGACGGAAACAGAATTGGTAAGCAAATAGGAAAGAAAGGGAGGGGGGCTATCAGATCTTGTTTCTTTTGTTTCCTACGGGAATATGCGGGACATTTTTATTCCTGGTTAGAAGGGAACAGACAGAGCGTGTCCCAAACAAATATAAATTAGAAAAGAATGAATTTGTAATATTTCAATATCTTATATTATTTTATAATAGGTGAACCGGCTTGAAGCTGAGCTGGCTAGTTACCAGGAGCTGATAATACAACTTAAACATGAGGTAGGATCACTCAACAAATCATAGTTTGCCAAGGGCGTATACAGAAATAAATCTAGGGTGGTGCAAGATTTGCGCGAAGCGCAAAATTTTTTTTTGCCCCCCCCCCCTAGGAGCTTGCCCCCCCCTGTATACGCCCTTGTAGTTTGCTATATTTTTTTTAGCTGAATTGTCCGTCGTTGCCCGCAATATTTAAAAAAAATTCGAAATAAAAAAAAATATTTTGATTTTTGAAAACAAAATAATTTCTATTTTTTAACCTTTGTTACCTATGGGTTCCCTCAAAAAAGTCAGCTAATTTGATTAGCCGTTTGGCCAGCTATAGCTAACAATAACATATATATATACAAATATTTATATATATGAGCGAAGAACTTTATTATATAGATTAGTTAATTAAAACATATTGTTTTACCTCCAGAGCACTTTTACAGCGGTTTTCATACTTTCCTTAAAACCTGAGGAATCTTTAATTACAGTGCTAACCAGAAAACTGGAATATTTGTAGTCTTCCTTCTATTAAATTATAGAATTGCAGATGCATGTTAAGTTACTCAACGTCCCTTGGGACAATTAATGGCAAATTTCTGAGACTTTCTACCATATGTAGAACCACAGTAAGTACTCACACTATGGTTAAGCTTTACCAGAGCAGTGTAGATAGATAGATGTGACCTATAGTTGTACCTATGGTAACATGAATAAGAAATTGGCCATAAGTTGCGAAGTTTTAGAAAAAAAAATTCGAGGTTTTTCATCTAAAAGACAATAAAATTGTTCCGAAATTTGTCAAGTGAATTAATATTCCCATTAACCTCCCTGTAAAATAGCTGTAAATATTTATGATAGGTGCAAGTAAAAACTGATCTGCTCCATGTGTACAGCTCCGACCTAGAGGATAGTTCTCCCCTAGAACTCAGATCTATCAATGTTGAGATATTACAGAGGAAAATTCAAGATCTTGAAGAAGATAATAGAACACTACATGCGGAAGCATCTAAGGTTTGTTCATTCTTTATTCAGAGGTCAAACTTTTTGAATAGAATCAGTTAAAAGATGTAGTTCAACTAGATGTTGCTAGTTTGTATAGTTCTCTGGTGTAATCTCGGTCACACTAGATAAGTATTTAAACTATCTGTACCCAGATGAACTACTGGTTTAACTATCTGTACCTTGTTGAACTACTAGTTCAACTATCTGTATCTAGTTTAACTACTTATTCATTTTTTTATCATCTCTCTTGTTTGTAAGCGCTCTCCGATGGCGGCATGGGTTTTCCAAAAATGGTAGGGGGGGGGGGCCTTTCAGATCTTTTTCCTGATACTCCTGATTTCAATTGTAATCAGAAAAAAAATTTGGGAGTATTATAAGCAAGTTTTTTTGGATTTTAATTAAATTTATCACTCTATTCTAAAATCACCCTTTGTTAATTTTGCTACAATTCACAGATTTCGTTCAAATCTAGATCCTGGTTCAATTCTCAAGAAGTAATTGATCTGGTACTAGAAATATTTCCTAGTCTTAACAAGAACTGTTTCTGTGATTGGTGCCAATTCGTTTGTTAACTGGATTTGAGCCAATTGGTCCAATTGGTTTCACTTTTTTATTCTGGGATATAAGATGTCTCCTTGGCCCTCTTTTTTATCGTTTCTGTTATCATCTATATCGTTTTTGTTATCGTTCTAATTTTCATTTAACTTTTTTGTTATTGTTATTGTTATTTTTTGTTTGTTTTTGTTATTGTTTTTGTTATTGTTTTTGTTATTGTTTTTGTTATTGTTATTGTTATTGTTATTGTTATTGTTATTGTTATTGTTATTGTTATTGTTATTGTTATTGTTATTGTTATTGTTATTGTTATTGTNCGGAGAGAGTGCAGGGGGAGGTGGGGAGGGTCATGATGTATGACTTTTACCCACATAATAACAGGGGTTTCAAGGTTTATTTTTATTTTTAAATTCCTTGTGTGAAAATATATGGTTTAATCCTCCCTTCACGCACGTATCCATCTTGAAAGGTTATGAATGGAAAAATGGCGAAATTTTTGTTAAAGAATTCAACAGATGGAGTTTTCCCTGCAAATACCGTGATATTTTAAGAATCATTGAAATTTAATAATATAAATAATTGACCCACCGACGTTTTGTGTTTAAAGTTTTGTTTCCTTTCAAATAAAATAAAATATTGCATCCCTAAAACATAGTTCTTAATGATAATTAAATCACGAAAAGGGAAGAAGTTTCTGTCAATCCATTATCCATATCATTCATACATCCATTCATTTATTTATCTATTTATCATCTTATGTATTCATCCATATCATTCATTCATCCATTCATTTATTTATCTGTTTATCATCTATTTATTCATCCATATCATTCATATATCCATTCATTTATTTATCTGTTTATCATCTATTTATTCATCCATATCATAAATACATTCATTTATTTATTTATCTGTTTATCATCTTATTTATTCATCCATATCATTCATACATATCATTCATACATCTATTCATTTATTTATCTGTTTATCATCTGTTTATTCATCCATATCATTTATTCATCCATTCATTTATTTATCTGTTTATCATTTTATTTATTCATCCATATCATTCATTTATTTATCTGTTTATCATCTTATTTATTCATCCATATCATTCATACATCCATTTATTTATCTGTTTATCATTTTATTTATTCATCCATATGCTGTATTAGAGGTCTGAAATATGTGTTCTCAATGTTTATCTTTACGTTCATCCATCAACAAAATCTTCTATTTATCTATCTATTGATCTATCTATCTATTGATCTATCTATCTATTGATCTATCTATTTATCAATCTATTTATCTATCTATTGATATATATCCATCTATCTTTTATCTTATATGCACTCTTAGTCTTGTATTTCTCATCTATCTCTTTAAGGGGCGTAGACAGAAAGGAACTGAGTTTTTGCCACAAACTCAAATTTACTAATCATATCTTTTCAACCTGATAATCAAACCTTTGATATTTCAAACTTAGACTATTTGATATAGCAGAATTCAAAGGTCTATGGCATCAGGTTGCAAATATAATGGGATACAAAAATTAGAGTTTGTGGCTAAAACTCATTATCTTTATCAGGGGATTGTCTGCATGTAATTGCATTCGTAATTTAAGATATATTTTAAATATCAGGGCTGTATATTTAAAAAAAGAACCCTCCTAACTAAGCGATGGAAATATGTAAAAACCTGCCTTGCTTTATTCTTTAAAAGAATATTTGAATATATTCTCTGAAAGTAATCCCCCCCGTCTATGATTCCCCGCTCGCCTTCGTGTCTCGGAAAAGTTACAACTCTTGTTTTTTTTTATCGAGGAAATGCAATATCCGACCCTGATCTCGTTAAGTTCTTAAAGGGACTGTGGGCGGAATTTCAAGTGACCCCCTCCCCCCTCCCTCATTTAAAGGGACAGACCGGCTATGTAAGGTAGTTAAACTGACGTCGAATTTGCGCTCGAACTCAGGATTTACAGATCTTTAAAAAGTTCTCAAATGAATCCTAAAGAATTTGTCCACAACACTGCATACTCAGTTTAACTACCTTACAAAGCCGGTCTGTCCCTTTAACATGTTACATGTTCGATATTCCCTTTAAACCTTTATTTAAACAAGGATAAGGATAATATTTTAAAAAATTCCTTTTTTGTTTTACTTCAAAAATCCGAAAGTCTCTTCAACAGCGACGAAACCACAAATGAAAAGTTTTCCGAGAGTAGGGTCAAAGGGTACCATTGTGAATCGGGCATTTTATGCTTTATTTTTTAACCGAGAGCCACGTTAAATTAGGTTAACAGTCCCTGTAATCAAGTATTACGTAGATCATTTTACGAAAAAGCTTGGCTCAGCGTAAATCTAAGATATCTGATCCAAGATTATTTATTGAGCTGCAAATCCTAGAACTTAATCAGTTTTCATAAAAAAAATAATTATTTTTCAAAGCATAGAACTTTTAAATGGATAGAATGAGTGTTATCTACAGATTCTTTTTTAACATATGAAAATATAAAAGTAGGGGGTTTATATAATTTTGTTATTTTTTTTAATAATATATTAGTAAAACAAGACATTTGTGTGTGTGTGTATATAGCCGGCCAAACGGCTGGACCGATTGGGCTGAAATTTTTTGTGGACACTCAGGGGTGGCCGAGGAATTTTTTTTCAAACATTTTTTGAAAAAAATGTTCTCTTTTTTCCACGGGCAACGCCGGGCCTTTCGGCTAGTGTCAAATAAATTATCTATGTAATAAGTCTCAGTCATATGTTACCTGAAATATGTTGAGTAAACCACGGGAGTGACATGAAATTGAAATTTGTAAAAGTCCACGGGCAACGCTGGGTAATTCAGCTAAAATCATGATTTAAGACCAAACGCGGGTAAAAGGCAGAAGTAACTATTCTAGTATTTCGTATTTTACTAATATGCTTGAACTTAACGTTAATTAAAACGTGATCTTTTGTAATAATGACAGGAAATATATTAGTGAAGAAATCATTAAACCTCGAGTGCACGTAGCAGTATCTGCAATTTTTAAAAATAATTTCTCATGCATAAGTAATAACAATCAAGGCTTGTTGTTATTACCCTTCTTTTAGAATTTTCTTTAAATTATGTAATTTAAGGGAATGTTGGCGTTATTTCAAGGGACCCCCCCCATTTATTGTGTGACATGTCTGATTCACATCAGTACTCTTAACTTTTGCCTAGGAAAGAAATGAGTTATCTTTATTTTTCCAGTCGAAAATTTTTTTTTCGTGGGTTCTCTGTAAAAGTGAATTGCAGATTTATGTTTGAGAGACTTGTAAGTACGCGTTTTCAGATTGAAACCCAACGATATCTTCCTCTTTAAGACTCTGTTCAAGGGTTTAAAGGTACCGTTGTGAATTGACATGTAAAAGGGTCTCTTGAAATGACACCTAAATTTCCCTTTAAAGATTTGTTTTTAAATAAATGATTGTATAACTTACAAGGATTGCGGGGTCTACAAAGCAGTTTAATTAATACAGAATCAGTTGAGAGGTATTAAAAGACTGCAGTCATAATTTCAGTTCTGATTCACAACAATACCCTTCAAAGCTTTGTCTGATCAAGTATTGCATTAAATATCCATGTTTCCCATTTTGAAAACTCATTATTTTCATTTGTGGTTTCTCTTCAAAAGTGACTTTTGCGTTTCTTGCTTCAGAAATGATGGAGAAAAGGTATATCGGACATGCTATTCAATAAATGGAGGGTCACTTGAAATTAAGCTTGTATAATTACATCGTACAATGAAAAATACTTTAAAATATCACTTTTGCCCTTAACTAAAAAAGTATAATAAAAAAGCTTTAATCAATACTGCCTTCATTGTAAATATATATTTGATATCATCATTTATGATACAATATGTATCGATCCTATGTAAATTCAGATATTTTTTAAGAAACGTTTCCATCTCTATTTTTCACTTGAAAGAATTACATAAATAATTTATTAACACTTGTAATATGGACAGTAGACAACTAATACATGATTTGTTTAGATCAATGAATCCAGTAGACAGCTTATACATGATTTGTTAAGATCGATGAATCTAGTAGACAACTTATACATGATTTGTTTAGATGAATGAATCCAGTAGACAGCTTATACATGATTTGTTTAGATCGATGAATCTAGTAGACAACTTATACATGATTTGTTTAGATCGATGAATCTAGTAGACAACTTATACATGATTTGTTTAGATCGATGTATCTAGTAGACAACTTGTACATGGTTTGTTTAGATCGATGAATCTAGTAGACAGCTTATACATGATTTGTTTAGATCGATGAGTCTAGTAGACAGCTTATACATGATTTGTTTCGATCAATGAATCTAGTAGACAGCTTATACATGATTTGTTTAGATCGATGAGTCTAGTAGGCAACGTGGAGAGATATCAATACTGTTGGCTCAGGTACAGGGTATCCCACATTATATTGGATCAATTATAGCTCTAAATTGCAATTTTCAGTTTTTCGAGTATT